AACACACGAGAGGATAAAAGAAGACAAAATGAGTTACAAAGGAAAAGACGTGGAATGGGAGAGATTACGAAAGGGAAGAACGAGAGTGAGTGAGACAGGAGAGGTGAAACACAAGAAATACATGGTCAGAAAGAGCGCTAGACCAAGCCAAACAATACAGGGTAAGGCAATCATAAAATAAAAAGACAAAGTGCAAGTTGGGGAAACGGGATCGGGATGAGAGTAGAAACGAAAGGCAAGACGTTCAGGTGAGAGAAGAGACGTGTAGATGGAGGTTTGGGTGCGAAACGAGAAGTTCGGCTAAGGGACGAGAAGTTCGGACGAGGGTGGGACGTTCGAAAGCGAGGTTCAAGCGAGGGACGGGAGGAAGAAGGAGAGATGGGGAAGATGAGAAAGAGGGGTGCGTTTTGTGTGTGTGTGTGTGTGTGTGTGTGTGTGTGAGAGAGAGAGAGAGAGAGAGAGAGAGAGAGAGAGTCTGTTGCGTACGCCTGGGATGTTTATTCTGTCCGCTGCTTATTCTGAACGTGCACAGACGTGTTCTCTTTTTTTTTTTTTTTTTTTTTTTTTTTTTTTTTTTTTTTTTTTTTTTGCCATGTTCGCAATACACAACTCCACAAAATAAAGCGTGACTGCTCCTAACTATTTTTTTTTTTCATTTTTTTTTTTTTCATGTTCGCGATACACAACTCCACAGAAAAAAAGCATGGCTGTGCCCAACTAATTCGTCCAACTTGGATATATCAGGACCATATGCGTGTGTGTCGTCATGTTCGTTATACATGATTGTGCCAGATTGCTTCGTAGCGTATGTGTGTGTGCTGCGTACGTGCACAAACGTGTGCGCAAGGGTATGGGAAACATGTAAGCCGCCCTTGCTGTCTCCATCGTCACCTCCCATTGTCCTCCTCTGCGCAGCGTGACAAACTCTCCGAATACCAGGGCTAGAGGGGCAATGTCCAGGGCGGCGACAGCAATAGCACCTACGATCTGGAAAGCGGACTACCAGCACGGGCCTACCAGGCCGGCGGCCTCGACGCATCTGGCCACAATTCCGTCCAGGAAAAAAGTGGAAAAGCCCTGGGGAGACTAACCCTAAATCTGCCCCCACGTCGCCCTGGTAGACTTCGTGCATCCCTCCACGTCCGTCGATCTCCCCACAACGAGCAGTCAGATAACCGTTTCAAACTTTCCTGTTCGGAAACCGGGCTGAGTCAGTCCGCCTCCGTAGATCTCCCAAAAGGATTCGGTCAGTCCGCCTCCGTCGATCTCCCAACGTAGCGAACGGTCGGGTAACCGGTCGACGCCCTATACCCACTTACACCTATTTTTCAGGCCTAGTTGTGCACGACTCTGCACTACAACACATCCGACAACAGCCGTCGACGACCCACATTGTGAATGCAGCTGGACAAACGTGGCTGCCTCGGTCTACTCGTCCCCACCCGACCGCTTTTCCCATCTATAAACATGTCTCGAAAAGGAAAGTTTCCTCGGCGCTCGAATCTGGACATTTTTTGCGGAAATGTGCACAAAGTCGCAACCCCCATATACGCAGCCATTACCTGGCTGCGAACATTGTGGCCATGAGATTCCCAGATCGGATGGCAGGGACCCGTGTATACTCGAAACCCCAACTAAACCTCATCAATTGGGGCAAGGACCCAGAAACCCAGTTTCTGCGCAGCCGAGACTACCGGTAGTCGCCCCTCCCAAGCATTGGGGGGGTTGCGCAGTCAGGGTATTGTTCTTCCCAGCGCGAAGCATTGCATGAGCTGCATGCAAACGGGCGGGCCGAAGTGCACTCTCTCTCCTTCTCACTCGCGCGTGGTGAAGTGTTTTCTCTCTCTCTCTCTCTGTCTCTCTCTCTCGCACACACACACACATACACACACATACACAGACACACACACACACGTGTTTTGACAGAGTGCACTTCGCGGAGCCGGTTCGCGCGCAGCCTATACGTTGCTCGAACCCGCCTGTTACATTTTTCCGGGGAGTGTGTGTGTGTGTGTGTGTGTGTGTCTGTGTCCGTGTGTAAGAGAGAGAGGAGGGGGGGAGCTGGCTGCCGACCATCATGATTATGACACGAGGCATCCTGGCCCAGATGAACCATGCCATCACCCCGTTCCCCTCCAGATCATGCGCATGTTCGACCGTCCGATTTTTGTTTCTTTCCATCACCGGATGAGGAGGAAGAGAAAGACGAAGACAGGGCATGAGGCGACGAAGACGGATAGGGTGCAGCATGCAAGGTAAGGTTGTGGAGGGGGACGACGTCGAGGAGGACCCTAAACTAAATGGGAGGGGGATGTAGGTCGGGTCCCTATTTTGTGAAGCAGGGGATGGGCAGCATGGACTGGGAGGAGGAGGCCAATCAGGATGTGGCACCGAGAGGAGGAGAAGGCCGGAATGGTAGCCAATCAGGGTAAGCCTGGAAAGGATGTATGAACCAATTAAGGGCAGGGGGAAAGAACGCCAAGGTGCAGATCGTGGAGCGGGATCCGGACGGACAAGGTGGTGAAGTAGAGATTGGAAGGCACGAAGAGGCGCTCAGCGCGGAGGGAAGGAGAACAGGTTTCAAGGAAAGGAGAGAGGAGGATAATGACGAAGGACCTGACTCACGAGAGGGATGGGGTAAATGTAGACATGCCGGCGACGGAGGACACACAGCAGTGAAGAGAAAAAACAGAGTGGCAGAGAGGAAAGGGCATACCAGACCCGAAGGGGCCACATAGAGTATTGGAGGAGTAGGAGCTCGGAGAAGATCCCAACGAAGGAGAGAAAGACGGGAAGAGGGAGGCGGCAGACACAGGATAAGGACAGAAGACGATGGGGAAAAGTGTATTGGTGGGGGAAGATCGGAGGGGGGATAAAGGGCACGAGTTAAGAGATGGAATCGAACAGACGGGAGGGAATGGAGAAGAAAGATAGGGAAAAAAAGAGAACAGGTAGGGAAGAACGCCACACACACACAGAGAGAGAGAGAGAGAGAGAGAGAGAGAGAGAGAGAGAGAGAGAGAGAGAGAGAGAGAGAGAGAGAGAGAGAGAGAGAGAGNGAGAGAGAGAGAGAGAGAGAGAGAGAGAGAGAGAGAGAGAGAGAGAGAGAGAGAGAGAGAGAGAGAGAGAGAGAGAGAGAGAGAGACGGGGAGGGAGGGCGCATGAGAGAGGGCACTTGACGATCGTTAATGACGGGACACCTCCTAGAGCGTGAGAGAGAGAGAGAGGGATGTAGAGGGGAGAATAGGAAGAGAAGGGGAAGAGGGAGGGAGGAAGAGATGGCGAGAGGGACAAGGCAGAGAGATCCCAGCGGGCACGTCCGTCCTTAACTCGAATTCAAATTCTTTAAATGCCAAACGAGAAAAAGAGACGTTAAAGATGATGAAATGAAATATTGATCGTGTGATATTACAGTACTACATCCTTCGACGCGCACTCTTTGGCCGCTTTTTTTTTGTTTGTTGGTAATTTATAAAGGCTAATTCTTTTAAGCCCAACCAATTCACTTACCTGTCGAATCTGGACAGGACGGCATTTATAAAGGCTAATTCTTTTAAGCCCAACCAATTCACTTACCTGTCGAATCTGGACAGGACGGCCTTTCACTGAGGCCCTTTTTTTATTGTCATTTGATAGTATTACGGGGACCCCCACAGCAACATTATAATGGGGAACCCGCAGCAGCCACATCCGTGCTCAAGCCTTTAACTACCGGTAGGGAACATGGGGGACCTGCACCCACGGGCAATGCAGGTGCGATACCTGCTACAGCAGGTGGGCCATACCGGCAGTGGGGGGTCAGCCGGTGGCATCAGGACCGAGCTTCTTCGATGGGCTCTTACGTAGTCGCTGTGCCTCCCCCCTCCGGTCCTCCCCCCTTATGAACATCAGCAGCGTGCTTTTTTTTTTTGTTTTGTTTTTCTTTGTGTGGCGGCTATGATGTCGTCGGCTCTTCACGTCTGGAGTTTAATAATTGGTTCTCCCGCCGTCACTCTATTGCTATTATATCTGTTTTTTTTTTTTTTTTTTTTTTTTTTTTTGTTTTTTTTTTTTTTTTTTTTTTTTTTTTTTTTTTTTTTTTTTTTTTTTTTTTTTTGAGTATCTGTTTTTCATTCTCTCATGTTTTGATTTTTGTTTTTTGTTTTTTGTAATTGGGATCTCCACTATCCACTACTGCTGGGGATGTTGCCAAACGGGGGTTGCATCTCTGCTCTTTCATTTTTGGCGCATGCGGTCGTGATGTGGACGTCAACATTAAATGCTCATCAGCTTTGCGTCGGAATCAAATCGTGACCTGATTGATTAAAATCAGTTCACAACGTGCGTCATCGGTTGTCTTCTGCTTCTGCTTTTTTTTTTTCTTTTTCTTTTTCTTTTTTTCTTTTCTGCTTCTGTTTTGTCGTACTCACCACCATTGTCACGCATTAATTAATCAGTCGACATGCTACAACCTTCTCGGCATACATGTGCTCTCATCATCAGCTTTTTCTCCATCTTCATTATTTTCCTCCAATCTTCATTATCTTCCTCCAAAAAAGCAATTTTTAAAAATCTTCTTCACAATAGAAAGCATTCAAAATATCGCTTTAGGCTCTAGCAGTTTTCTTTGTGTCCTCTCTCTCTCTCTCTCTCTCTCTCTCTCTCTCTCTCTCTCTCTCTCTCTCTCTCTCTCTCTCTCTCTTTCTCTCTTTCTCTCTCGCGCGCAATCTGCGAAGAAAGAGAGGGGTGTTTCTTGCTCGTCTTCGCTCTTGAGGGACGGGAGATTGAATAGCCGAGGGAGAGAGACTTGCCAGCTACTCATTTAAACAGAACATGGGATATGCATTTGATGATACCATAAAGAATGAAACGAAAGGATCAACTCCTGGCATCAAGCTCAGTTGGTTAGGCACGCAAGTGGCATTCATGAGGTCTTGGGTTCAATCCCCATTGGCCTCATGTACCTTCCTGGGCAAGCTTGGCGCGCGCCACCTAGAGATAGACCGTTGGTCCCCCCAAGCGGCATTGAGCAGAGGCTGCGGATGTTCGTAGGGGGAGGGAACGGGAGGGGAGGCACAGTGATTGGCCTACCGAAGAAGCTTGGTCCTGATGCTACTGGCTGACCCCTGGCCGGTATCGCCCACATGCAGGTTGGGTGCAGCCCCTGCATGTTCTTGAACTCGGGCTGATACGGGTTCTCCGTAATTCTATATTCTAAAATGTAATAATAAAAAGGCCTGGAAGACCGTGCTGTCCAGATTTGACAGGTAGTTGAAATGGTTGGGCTTAAAAGAATTAGTCCTAAAAAAAAAAAAAAAAAAAAAAAAAAAAAAAAAA